TTTTTGTTCTAGCATACTCTCCCCAGACTCTTGCATGGAATCTCAGAGCTGTGATCACATGCTGGCAACTCTCAAATTTTTAGCCCTCCTTAAATTTCATTACATTTATGTATCTATTTGTTTGTTGTGTGCGTGCGTGTGCATGTGTGTCAGAGTGTGAGCTGGTTCTCCTTTCTCAAACTGTGTTCCAGGGATGGAAAGCAAGTCCTCCAACGTGGCCAATTGTTACCTGTACTTTCTGAGTCATCTTGCATATCTATTTCCCTAGTTAGCAAACCAACCAACCAACCAACAAAAAACCCAACCCTTCAGATCCATACTTAAAAGGATCTGCAGGTTTCTTAAACAAACCAAGTGCACAATGCAACCTTCGGCCTCCCTCCCACTCCTGACTCTGGCTTCTTTCACAGTCTCACTCAATGCCGTGACAGCCAGAACTTACTAATACCTCTCTCCAACTCACTTTCTAAGAAGGAACCATAGTAAGTTTCCTAAACATTTGCAAACTGGAAAATAAGCTCAATGGCTTCCCAGCACCCCCAGCAGGCAGCTCCCAACTGATGCCTTCCGGGACCTTGAGGCCCTCTGCTGGCCTCCTCGGGCACTGACTACACAGAGACAAAGGGGGATGGGGTGGGGGAGGATCTTTAAAAATAACCCATGACAAGCTGGCTGTCTTTCCATCCCCTTTGATCCAGGCTTCTTTAAGCAACTCTGCCTGGATGCTCATTCCTTGTCTTGCACTGCTCTGCCTAAAAGCTGTAGTCTTGTTTCCCTGATTCGGTGTTCTTTTCTATCCTAAATGGTTTACCTGCCACCTCTGCTGCAGAAATGGCCTGTCTCCAGCTCCTTATGTTTGTGGCCTCCTCCTCCTCCTCCTGAGAGGCTCACCTTGAAGCACACCACTTCCTCTGACAGAACTTCTCACCTGACAGCTTAAAGCAGTCTGCACTTCCTCCTATACCACAATGGGTCACCGTCAGTAGCCAGCAGTATGTGTGGGTGCTATTGCTATTTATACCTCTCCTCCAAGAGGGACAACAGAGGGCAGGTTTGATCTGCTGCTGCAGGTGGTCAAGGTCTGCTGAATGAGTCAAAAAGCTAGTTCAAGGCCCCTGCTCTCCCCTGGACACTCACTAGAACCTTCTCACTGGTCTTGCTACCTTCATGGTCTCTTCCTTCACTCTGATCCACCTTCTAGAAGTGACAAGAGATCTAAAAAACTACTTTTGATCTTTGATTAAAAGCTACCCCCGGCCGGGCGGTGGTGGCGCACACCTTTAATCCCAGCACCTGGGAGGCAGAGGCAGGTGGATTTCTGAGTTCGAGGCCAGCCTGGTCTACAGAGTGAGTGCCAGGACAGCCAGGACTACACAAAGAAACCCTGTCTCAAAAAAAAAAAAAAAGCTACCCCCCCCCCAATCCATGTTAAGTCCAAATCTCCCGGCAGGACATGAGTAATTTGGCTGTAATTCCTCTTTCTGATGACCGCTGCTATACCACCAAGTGCCAAGTGGCTTCACTCTGTTGTTATTTGATGTTCTAGTAAATGACAATGACAACTGTTTTTGTTCTGATTTGTTTGTTGTTTAGACAGGGCCCCATTCTGAAGACCAAGCAGGGATTGCAGGCACACACTACCACGCCTGGCTCCATTTCTTCAGTTTTCAGGGCACCCTTGCCTCCCTCCTGCCCTCACAAGTGCCCCAAGACCCAGTATTATATTCTGGAAGAACTTCTCAGACCCCTTCATGGCATCTGTTTTCTTCATCCTACTGTTCTCTAGAGCCAGGATCTACGTGCAGCCAAGACTGGCTTCAAATCAGTGATCCTTCTACCTCAGCCCTCAGCCTCACAACGAGCTACCCCATGCTACCAGCCAATTCCAGGGGGGGGGGGGGGGCTAGAAAAATGCCTCAGTGGCTAAAAGTTTGCAAAGGACCAGTTCAATTCCCACCACCCATGCGGTGGCTAATAAACGACTGTGACGTCAGTTCCAGGGGACCTGACACCCTCTTCTGACCTCCTCAGCACCAGGCATGAGTGTGGTATACAGACATAAATGTAGGCAAAACACTTACGTACATAAAATAAGTGAGCTTAAAACCAGTCTGTACTTGATACATATTAAAGAATACATGTGCTGAGTGTGGTGAGGCACAGCTTTGATCCCAGCACCTGGGAAGCAGAGGCAGATGGATCTCTGTGAGTTTTAGGCCAGTCTGATCTCCATGAGAAAACAAGACCAAACACATGCAGTACTTATGCTACCAGTCCCTCGCTGCTGTGGCGGTGATAACATGCCTACAATCTCCCTGACCATCCTTGCTAACTGAGCTGCTAAGACCAGGCTGAGGCTACAACCAGGGAGAGAGTTTCTGGAATTAATTTCTGGTTCCAGCTCTATCATGATAGCTCTATGAATTTGCTACCTGATGTGGACAAGGAACTCAGCACCTCTTTGAAGGTTTCTTCATCTGTAAAGTGAAGACCAACCTTCACTCTCCTATGTACCAGTCCCAGAACTCCCTATCTCACACTGATGCTGCACATAGCTGAGTATATACAGGGACACCTTTTTCCAGCATTCCTGCCACTCTGAGAAACTCGGGCAGCCCTCGTGCCTGAGAAATGGACTCATATCACCAAGACTTGTGAAGACAATTCACTTTCAATTTTGAGCTCCAAATGCCAACCTGGCATTAAAGCATAAACAGTAGTCCTAGCATTCTGAATAGCTGCCTTCAACTTCAATCAAAGAGTAGGCAAGAACTTGTGCTTCCAGCCGGGCAGTGGAGGCGCACGCCTTTAATCCCAGCACTTGGGAGGCAGAGGCAGGCGGATTTCTGAGTTCGAGGCCAGCCTGGTCTACCAAGTGAGTTCCAGGACAGCCAGGGCTACACAGAGAAACCCTGTCTCGAAAAACAAAAAACAAAAACAAAAACAAAAAAAAAAAAGAACTTGTGCTTCCATCATGAAGCAGGAGGGAAAAGCCGCCTTCTGTCCTGTAGCTTCATCACTGATGTGGGCTCCAGCTCCCAACCCTCCCCCAGCACAACACACAACCCTTTCTTGTTCGCTAAGTGGCATTCTGTGCCATCCTCGGTCAGAACTGCCTCTGGGTCTTGTTTACCAACAGCTTGGCACGGGGTTCAATCCAGTCCCAGTCCATCACGCTCTTCTACCCAAACACAAAGTCCCACAATGGCTCCAACTCCAGCTTCTGTTAACAGTGCAGAGAAGAGCAATTCTGTGCCTCCTACCTCATCATCTTCCTCAAGTCCCCATAAAAATAAAAAAATAAAAACCCAAATCACTCGGCTACTTACAAATCAGATGATCAGTAAGAATGCCTGAGTAAACAGATTCTTTTCTGATTTATTTCTTTAAAAGGGAAAATGGGGTTAAATAGTTTTTCTCTTCAGCTATTGATTCAAAGGGCAAGTTTATTCCCTGTCAGCCCAGGGGCCCCAGGATGATACTGGACATGCAGACAGTATATGCCATAAGGACTACAAAGAATCAGAACTGTGACTGCCAGGTATCAAATCTGAGCCTATTCTTTCCCTTTCTGAAAATTACTTCTTACAAAGTAGAATTTCCAGCCCATTCCTGCTCCATGTACATGACATCCATGTACATGAGATTGTAACTAAGCAGCAGGGAAAGCACACATCCTTCTGACACAAAGCCCATGTAATACAACCTGTCACAAAAGGCTGAGTAACAAGGTGGAGATTGGAACCCAGAGTGTCCACCTCAGTGAGGGTATTGCATCTCTGCTATCTCCTCAGAGATAAGTCATACTGAAACTGAAGAGGAGAAGTACCAAATACGAAGGAATACTTGGAACTGAACAGCCACTGTAACAGCTTGAATAAATACAATCTATTTGCCAACTTCTGTGTGCTTTGTGAAAGTCCTGACATATTCCTAATGGGTAGGTGAGACAGCTCAAGTTCCCATCTGAACAGAACCGAAGATGTGCCTGATACCCCAGTGCACAACACCGCAAAACCTGTGTCTCTTGACTCATTTTCAGGTCTAACCATGTCCAAGGGAACTGTGTAAGAAATATTTTCAAGAACATGAAAGCTACCCCTTAGCCAAACGCCTGTCAAACACACACACATAGAAGCTAAGCTGTAGCTTGAGCAGCCTGAGGACATGTCACCACCACGTCATCCCATCTGTATGAAACTGCCCAACGATGTGAACAGTGTCTGGAATTCTGCATTTTCTTGTTTAAAATATACATACCAAGAGCTGGCAATAGTGGTGCATGCCAGAACGTGGGAGGCAATAGCAGAAGGATGTCTGTGAGTTCCAGGCCAGCCTGGTCTTCATAGTGAGTTCCAGGCCAGTCAGGGCTACATGGCAAGGCCCAGTCTCAAAACAAAACAACAAAAACCCAAAAATCATACCTTAGCAATATGCATATCCCCGCTGCCTAAGTGATGCACTTATGCACACATGCACAGATGCAGCCGCCCGTGAGACCAGAGGTCAACATGCTATAGCTTCCTCTTCTATCATATGTCTTCTTAAAAAAACGCACCGCGGTCTCTCTCTCCCTGAAGCCTGGAGCTCACTTGACTCATCTAGACTAGCTGAGTAGCAAATCCCAGAGATCCTTCCGTCTCTACTTCCCAGGGATGGAATGAAAGATACATGTGGCCGTGCCTGACTCTCTGTGTGGGTGCTGGAAATCCAAACCAAGACTTTATCCACTGAGCCACCTTCCCCCAGCCCCATGCAGAGGGTTTAAGTACCTGCTGTAGATAGCTCATCATTCTCTGTACAAACGCACAAAACAGTGACTTCAAGGAGAACCACGTTTAGCACATTCATCTACCACACTTAAACTTACATAACACTAGGTAAGACAGCAGAGCCAATGGGAAATGGGCTTGGCTCAAACTGAAAAGGCCTGCTCCCTCTGAGTGAGGACACAGACACTCTTCCAGGGGCTCTCAGTAGCTGAGGGGAGCACTACTTACTTCCTCATTAAATAGCTTGCTGGTTTCTTTCTTGATTGGGTCTATGAGCTGGACTTGGCCTGCGGAAAAGCCCACCAGGAGGGAGACGCTCTCGGCGGTGGCCGTGAGGTGGTTGAAGTCATGGCAGGTGGGCTGGGTCCCTTTGTATATCCTCTTATCTATTGGCTTACTCAAGTCAGCAGCCTGCAGGGAGAGAAGACAACACAGTGACACACTACGTAGTGACACCGCACACTATGGTGAGGGAGCTACGTTAGATGACTATACATCCCATACGAACTACAACTGTTTACATTATTAAAATTGTGACTTAACATTCACTGCATGTTTTACAAAAACAATTTCACATATGTAGCCAATTAGATATTTAGACTAACTATATATATTCATTCATAACTGTCATTTCCACAACTTTTCTTCCTTCAAATACATGTAGCAATGACTCCTGAATTTCAGAAGGAAAACTGATTTGATCCCAAATTCCACATTTCAAAATGCATTCCAAGAATTCTAACACAGTAAGTCTATCCACAGTAAGCTCAGGAATGTCTACGGCACTACGCCCACTCCTCTGTTACCTAGCGCTCACTCAAGTGTGGTCCACAGACTGCCAGGCAACTCACAGTGCAGACTCTCAAGCCCCCTGCAAATCCTGCCCTGGAAGCGATGGGGGTAGCTCCTGAGCTGTAGTCTGACAAGCGAGCCAATGCCTCAGCATCTGAGAAGCACTGCTGGAGCCAGTCACAGAAGGCTTCCTTCTCTGCTGCCACCTTTAGGTCACTGTCCTACCTGGCAAATGTCAGAGCTGGATTTGGAACCCAGACCTGCTCTGCTGACCATAAGTAGATGTGGAGAAAACACATCTACTACATTCCAAGGTCAAAAAGAAACAGTTTCTGGCTCGAGTTAAAAGTGACTTTTCAATGGTTCCCCAATTCTTCCCATTAGAATTTTTTTTTTCCTTTTTGAGACAGGTTTTTTGTGTAGCCCTGGCTGTCCTGGAACTCAGTCTGTAGACCAGGCTGGCCTAGGACTCACAGAAGTCCACCTGTCTCTGCTGGAATGAAGTCTGTGCCCCCATCTTTTTTTTTTTTTTTTCATTTATCGTGTATGCACCCCCAGGAGACATGTGGAGCCCTGGAGGCTGGCAGACAAGTTATACAAGTCAGGGCTCTGCTTCTGCTTCTACTACCTGGGTCATAGGGATTGAATGCAGATTGGCAGGTTTCCTTTCTTTTGCAAAAAGCGTATCTTCTTCAAGAAGTGTCCCATGGAAGTGCAATGTGCTGGGTTGTTTCTGTTGAATCGGAGAGCCATCCCCTTCCTATGCTTGAAAGTCACAGGGGAGGGCCATCGAGAGGGCTCGGTGGGTACAGGTACTTGCTGCCAAGCCTAATGAGCCTTTACATACCTACACAGACATTAAAGTGACTAACTAGAAAGGGAAAGACAAACCCACAAATGGAGCAGTCTCTCAAGCATGTCTGTCTACTCTCACTTCCTCCTCACCCCAGGCACAACTGCAAACCACAGACCCGGGTACCCTCTTCCTCCAAAGGGGCTGTGACACTAGATGACCTAGTGTTTGACTCCCAAGTAACAACACTTAGTAGAAAAGAGGACTTCAGAATTGTGACTATGAGTAAGCTCCAAACTGAGGACTCTGTAGTTAGGACCAGAGACGGGCATGTGGTCCTGGAAGCCCAGCACAAAGAAGGCAGGCTACCTCCCCAGCTCACCTCTGTTAAAGCACAGGTAAGATGCACACCTTTACTCCCAGCATTTGAGAGGCAAAGGTCAGCAAAATCTCTAGAATTCAGGGCCACACAGTGAGATCTTGCCTCAAGACACAAACCAACCAAAACCAGTAAGACTTTCTATCTATCCCACCAACCGTGGACTAGAGCACAGAACAAGGGAGTGTGCACAGGAGACAGCACTGACGTACAGTCAACTTTTTGAAACAGGGTTTCTCTGTGGGTCAGGCTGGCCTGTCTAACAATTTTTTTTAAACTAATAATTAGAGTCTGGCAGTGGTGGTACACACCTTTAATTCCAGCCAACTGGGAGACAGAAGACAGAAGCAGGCAATCTCTGAATTCCAGGCCAGGCTGGTCTATAGAGCAATTCCAGGATAGCCAGGGGCACATTTTGAGACCCCTGACCCACAGTTATCCCTGCCCAAAAAAAAAATTAGTAAGAAAGATGAATGAGAAAGGTTTAAAAAAAAAAGATTTATTTACTTAATGTATAGGAGTGTTCTGCCTGCATCTACACTAAGAGGGCCACAAGAAGGCGTCAGATTCCATCACGGATGGTTGTGAGCCACCATGTCATTGCTGGGAATTGAAGGCAGGACCACGCATCTGGACTCTAGGGCACTTGCTCTCTCCTGCCTCAGGTTACTCCTCTAAGCAAGCTCCTCTCCCCTGATGGCAGCACATCAGGCACGGTGCTGCCTACCCGAGCTGTGAAGCCTCAAGTGACTCCCCACACATGACAATAATTCTTCTGACACATCATGGACCCTACTACTGGTACCTGAGCTCTTTGCAATCGAGCCTAGGTAGAAGGAGGCTACCACAACAGTCTCAGTTCAAACAACATGGCTGTCTCCCAGATTGTCTTCTCTCAACAGCCAATCACCTAGCTCTGTGCATTTCTGTCCTACTTCCTCCTCACTGTGTGTGACACTACTTGGGGCTCACACCCCCCTATAATGGCAGTAGTCACTTCTTGAGCCAGCCTCAGTCCAGATTCAAGGGGTCATGACTCCCTGGTTTCCCTGCTCCAGGCCATCTGGCAGAAGGGGAAAGTTTAGACTTTCAAACTTGCAAAGTTAAGTGCAAATTTAGCCTTAAACCCAACCTTCCCTCTTGACAACTAGCTTTTTCCTGTCACTAATCAAAGCATGAAAGCTCCCTGTTTGCCACAACCCACCTTCTTTCACAATGCAATACTTCTCTTCACTACAGAGCAGCCTCACACTAGGAACTTGAGACCATTATTACCCCATTCCATGTCTGAGAACCAACTATGGGGGGCTGCAGGGTCATGGCCAGTGTTCTCCTCTACTTTCAGTTACTCTCCGTGCCAGCATGCCAAGCCTCAGTGGACAGAGTCTCTTTCTGCAGTGCTCTTTCCTGTGCTGTGCCCTTAGCTACAGCAGTCTCTGTGGTCACCTTCAGGAATCCTGCCGGTCACTTTTAAGACCCAGTGGTTCTCTTGGCTACGGCTCTGCGCTCCTCAGTTTACCCAGGCTCCCAAGCACTTCAATAATTCCACAGCTTAAGCACTTGCATGGCTTCAGAAGTTTTCGTTCTTTAAGATTTATTTTTATTTTATGTGTACAGGTGATTTGCCTGTATGCACACGTGTGCCCCATGTGTATACAACACCTGTCAAGGCCAGAGGGCATCAGATCCACTGAGACTAAAGCACACATCACTGTGACCACACAGAAATGAGCCAGGTCCTCTGAAAGGCTACACATGCTCTTCCCCCTTAAGCCTTATCTCCAGGCCCAGGATTACTTTTATGTATCATAACCTAGGGTTCAGCTGCGTCTCTGTATGTGCCAAGAGTGATGGAGGAACAACTGTAACACTTTCTCATCCAGGGCTGTTCAGAGAGACTGTTCAGTGGATAAGAGCACTGGCCGTTCTCCCAGAGGTCCTGAGTTCAATCCCCAGCAACCACATGGTGGCTCACAAGCATCTGTAATGGGATCTGATCCCCTCTTCTGGAATTCAGGTGTACATACATGTACAATAACAACTCCCTTAAGGAGTAGAATTTCTGTATTAAAGGTTCTACGAATTCAGCTTTTGGCTTTCAGGTTCCTAGTGGCTTCTACATGCTTTGCATCAGAATTGTCAATCAGCTCTTTTAAACATGGACTTGTAACAGAGCCAGTTTCTTTAGACTTCTTACCAGTTGTTTTTTTTTTTTTAAATCAAGTCATACTTGGTTTCTAGCCTCAATAGAAATCCACCTTACCACACATGCTATTTACTGGAAAAAAAAATACTGAAGAAACTTTATTACTCTTGATTGTTTTCAATGTTAAAAGTATGTATGAGTTCAGAGCTCTGCATATGAAGCTATTAATCTCATCCTATTCATTGGTCCTCAGCATTCAGTGAACGTTTTAAGTGATGCTTTAAAAAGATACACTGGCCAGGCCTGCAGACCAGAGATCCTAGCACTTGAGCGTGGAGGCAAGAAACCCAAAGAGCCAAGGTTACCCTCGGTTATAAAATGAGCTGGAGGTCAGCCTGGGTAAAATGAGATCCTGCCACAAAACAACAATAAAATTCAAAGCTAGAGGCTAACTTATGCCATATGGGGCCTGGCCTGTCTCAAACTACAGAAAACCCAAATCCAAACCAACATCTCTCAACCCAGGCTGAGGCAAGAAATTGACAAATTCCAGGCCAGCCTGATCTATAGTATAAAAACCCTTTTCAAAAAGAAACAAATGCAAAATAGACCCCACAACTTGGGTGCGCACACTTTGAAGCATTTGAGAGGCTTCAACAATCAAACAAAACTGCAAAGAGCTAAACAGTGAGACCCAATCCTTTTTTTGTTTGTTTGGTTGGTTTTTCAGGGTTTCTCTGTGTAGCCCTGGCTGTCCTGGAACTCACTCTGTAGACCAGGCTGGCCTCGAACTCAGAAATCCGCCTGCCTCTGCCTCCCAAGTGCTGTGATTAATGGCGACCGCCACCACTGCCCAGCTAGAGACCCAATCCTTTAAAAACTCAGTAGGACTGGAGAGGTGGCTCAGGGGTTAAGAGCACTGGCTGCCCTAGCAGGGAACCCGTGTTCGTCCACATGGTGGCTCACAAGCATCTCTAACTCCAGCCTCAGGGAATCCAACCGTCTATTCTGGCATCCTCAGGCACCAGCCAGCCACACGGTGCACACAGTAAAACATTCTTTTCCTGTGTCCACCATGCTCAACTAAGTCAAACCCTCTTAGAGATAAATAAAAGCTTAATGAACTAAGGCAATCCCACTAGGCCATCAAAGACAATGACCAAAGTTCTAGTCTGTGAGACTTCTTTAATAATCCTGATTTCTGAGCCGGGCGGTGGTGGCACACGCCTTTAATCCCAGCACTTGGGAGGCAGAGGCAGGCGGATTTCTGAGTTTGAGGCCAGCCTGGTCTGCAGAGTGAG